CCCAACCCTGTAGCAGTACAACGTTTCCAAGAAGGTACGGGCGACGACATGTGGAGAGGATATTCTTCTCGAGTTGCTCGATGTAACCGCCAGCGCTCACCTTCAGTCCGGGGCCCACGAAGAAAATATCGGTCTCTCCATTCCAGGTACGTCCGGTACCATCAACTGGCGCCTTGGCGACTGAGGTGAAGATGATGTCCTAGACCGTAGCGACGTTGACGGAGCTGCTCGATGTTGGAGGTCTTCCAGATCGAGAGTACTGGTCTCCAGGTAGCTATCCATGGGTGACTCCACACTAGAAGTTTCGCAGCTGTTTGGAGGTGACATGAATTCCAAAGGTCTTCTCCAGTCAGGCTGCGACTGGAGATGACTTCATATTTTGGTGTACATGAAGGTGATGGGCGAGAGCCAGCTCCTGCTTGAACATCTTGGGTATCTTCCGCCCTGGTACTCGTATCCACGTCCTCTGTCTGGGCTGCGAAAACTTTGCTGATATGTGACTCGGTCGAAATGTCTTTTTTTTTGCCCCCCCCCCCCTGTATGTATCCAGCCTTCTTCGCGATGGCGTCGAATTCGCCGGCATTTCGTCAGAACGTTCGATGATTCTCCCAACCGATAGCCGTTTCTCCGATGGTCAGGGTCGCACACTATAACCAAGGCCTTATGACTGAACACAACGACAATCAGCGAAATTCATTGACTTGCATAGCGTTACCTTCACATTTGTTAGAGGTGATAACTGACTTACCCTCATTTTCGCTGACAACAATGAACTATAACGATGGCTAATGCTTGCGGGACTGTGTCGAGGCAGGATTTCGGCAATTTTTATCCACTGGCCTTAATTTATGTTCTGTTCAACAACGTACTGAATAGATTCACATAATAATAAGAATTTATTCACTTCATCACCCAACTAGGGCACTAATTAAATAATGACAGCACGTTCATACTTCGATATTCGCTCGGTTGGATCGCACGACCATGACGATGAGCGCTCCACCGCCTATCGGTGGACCGCCTCAACGGCAGAATTAAAAATGAACGCGTCCAAGCATCGTTTGAGGGAGCTCAATTTCATTCTGCCATTGCGGCGACCCGACAATTGGCGTGGAGCGTTTCTGGTCGTGGTCCGCGATTCAATCGCTCGATTCGATCACGATGCGAAGCGATTGCGCGATCGAACGGAGTATGAACGCGCCCTAGAGCAAAAGCTTCATAACGCAACAGTTAGTAAGATTATAGGAACCCGTCTGTACATACCTCGTCCAAAAACTTGAACGCCCAAAACCAGACGTTCATCTTCTTCAGGTGTCCAGTCACCGGCAGTATAGGTACACTTGTCCAACACATTACACCACCTAAAATCAAACGTGATGCTCTATCGTACATCGAGGACTGAAGCCAACATACCGCTCTCTGCATTGGCCATCTGATCGTCCTACTACAGCCTTTGCTACCTTCGCCCAGTCTTTGGCACCAAACCGAGCGACAGCTGTCATTAGCAGCTAAAACATAGCAGATAATGAAACCGTTTCCAGGAGGTTAGAGACAAGTGCTCTTAGTCAGCGTTCCGTAAAATGGAAGCTACATGAAATGTGTAAGAGCAGTGGGCTAATATGGTTGGAGGACCAGTTGCCGGCAAATCCGTACCGCTCCGTCTGATGAAAGCTTGGGCTTACATCAGACCATGTCTTGCGTACGAGTCTATCCCCCGGTGACCTGGTACGTCCAAATTCAAGCACGCACCGAGCGGGAGGACCTCACCTCAATCCGTATGGCCGACTAGGGACACCTACACTTATGATCATTGTGATCTTACACATCCCAACTTTTCACGCATGATAGGCGGCACACACACTCCGAAATCCTGTTCCCCTGTAAAGGCTCATCACGACTAACATTATAGAGCAATGCAGTCGGTAAGAGGTGGAACTCAGGCAAGAGCGCTGTGAAGATCAAACTTTTCGGAGTTTGCAGCAAAGAGCGTAATTACTGGGAAGAAGAGTTTGTGTACGGGATGAAATCTACAGCATGGGTCACAGCCAGCCTATGGAGCGGATACGCCTGCATCAGAATACTACTGAAAGGCTGCATTACACCAACCAAGTCTTCATGATCCGTCCAGCGCCCATGACGAACGTTTTCATCGAGCGTGCGCTGATATCTTGTTCGAACTTGCTGGCGATGACGTCCAGGCATGTAAAAGGTCACTGAATCGTCTAGTATTAGCTTCAAAACAGGCATGTCACCAAACTAGTTCTTGTAATAATCATGCCCAACCTTTGTCCCACTGAACCACTCCATTGACAGTCATCACTTTTACCAAAGCAATCAGACGATCATCTTCTTCCTTGGTCCAATCCCTTAAGAAAAATTAGCCGTCCTCGTTGTCAACATCAGTTTCGCATCTACATAATGTATCAACAGACTCACTTCGTAGTTCTATACATGTCGCTCCTATATTTTTCGAAACACTGGTAAGGAGATCGCTGAGTGTCCAACTTCTTGGCAACTGCTGCCCATGAAGTGAAGGATGGCTAAAAGTATTATCCATAAACAAACAGTGTTTCCAAAATATAATAGTATTTTCTAAGGTCCACTATATAAATTGCCCTATTTTCTGGGGCATCACACGTAGTTACATCCTTGTCCGCCACGGATGATGGGGCGTATCTGAGCGTCTTGATTGGCGCGCCGCGATGCCAGTCCGTTCTCCACCAGTTGTTGAAGCGAGTCGACAAGGAACTGGTGTACGACAGGAACTGGTGGAAAACGACTGATAATAACGACTTGATGCAGTCTTGTCGCCTGTTGAAAGAGAAGAAACCGGCTGGTGCAGCGCTAAACCCATACCCGTTGCCCCTCCACAGCGAACAAGACCCAACATAATATCTTCGTACCCGAAGATCACGACAACGCGCGAAAAAGCGCGTTTCCCAAACACGAGCAGCCAGACCTTCCCTAGTATTACTTGCGTACTCAATCTTCTAACTGCCTCTAAAACACTGATATATTCTGTCATATTAGGTCGAATTTACATAGGAGAATGCTTTTTCACGACAAACAATAAAGTAGAGACTCCGCACAGCTGGACACAGTTCGCGGCCCTTCTAACGCTTATTCGGCCTGCAAATTAGTGTACGAGAACTCGCCAAAATACCATAAAATTCCCGAAGTATCCAAAAATCACATAATATCGCTCTCAAAATGTTAATTACCTATAAAAATTTCAAACATCGCTGCCGTGAAAAAAGTTCCACTCTATGGCCATGGTCACCCACCTAATTTCAATATCAAAGAGATATTCCAAATAGTGACACAACATACATATTTCTTCTCGAAGCTTTCCTATGGAGCCTTTGCAGAGATTGCTTCTCTCGATCCATGCGGCACTTATTCCAGCGAAAGCAACACATGTTTACATTCTTCAACCACTTATAGCGGAGCGCCTGTGCACGTCTGACCTGAAGATACCTCTTGAACTGAATATAGACTAGATTTGCTTACAAACAAATCTTTGAGGAATAGTTTTGCTAGAGCTTTTGCTTACGGGACTCAAAAGGATTCATCCGGGCATATTGAAATTCTTGCTAAGCCTCTCCTTATGCCCTATATCCATCCTGAAAGTAGCCCATACGAATTGTGCTTTTTGACATTTCTCTCTAATATCTGTTAACTTCTCGATGAGACACAAGTCACGCGTTATGGCTCCTTAAAAAGACACATGTCCGCTATTACAGACCAGGGATGTGGGGTTTTGACAAATATTGAAATAAGAAGCCTATTCGCATGCACTGTTTCGGCAAATTGAGAGGAGCATTTTGCTCACTCACCAGATTCTTTTTGAGGAGGTTCATGTTGGGATATGAACAGGTTCTTCAGCCTGAAACCATGGTAAAACTTCTGAGAAGCTGCGAAGTGGTGAAAGTTAGCCGGCCTTTGGAGATACTGTAGGCATTCACAGGTAGTACAATGGTGAGCCTGTAATTTTATATCCTAAAGGTAACATATTAAACTGCCCACTAAGTCGATCTGGCGTATCTATCCTGGAAACATTAGGGATTAGGGAGCGACAAGCAGCCACGGGTAAATGACCCAGCGACCAGACTGTAGTCAACCGGACATGCGTGTTCAAAAACTGAAGCGAAAATGATACCAAAATACCTCGACAGTCGAAATTTTGAGCCAGTCCACACATGAATAGTCCACGAGATCGACCTGTGCGCCGAATCCACCTGCCCTTCACGTGCATGTCTAATTTTTCGTTCGAGCACTTCTATTTCATCCTTCCACGACTGAACCTCTTCCGGAGTAGTGTCAACACCCCGCTATTCCTCACACAAACGCCATCCCAGTTATCGGGATTGAGTCTGTCTCAACCACCTAGCTCGCGTGAGATTTTAGCAGCGCAATGAAATCATATCCCTCCTAGAAAACTTGAGCCTACAAGAAATAAGATTGGATACGATGAGAATTTTCCAGCCTGTGCCTGCTAGACGATTATTCATTTCCTTTTTTTGTTTTCTTTCCACTCATTCCCTTTTTCTAACTTCTTGCAAATCTACACTATGGCGACGTCAGCTAAATCCATATATTCCTAATAGGGTTTATTGCTTTGATCAGTAAGCTAACAAATTTGTATACATCATAGACTAAGGATTATAGAATAAGACATTGGTCCTATCACCAATGACACTTTATTCTGAACGACTCCGTGTCTTTGTATAAAACCGAAGTGCTTTCACTTGCGCTCCATTCAGTAGGACGCAAGCTCACTTTGGTGACCCTTGAAATAAAAAACACCATCATAGCTTCCAAGGCAAAACGGCATAAAATATTCCTTGAGACTAGCCCAGCTGCTTCGTGAGCTTGAGCTCAGTTTGCCTGAGTGAACGGAAAAGAAGAAAAGCGGCGAAAAAGAGTATTATAGTAGCGTAGCACGAAATATTTCATTTCGCGAAAACATCGTTGTCGAGTCTCTAGGCCGCGCTCGCAGTTTGCGATAGGTGGAGAATATAGAAAATTACGAATTTGGCGGAGAAATCGGAGTACATTGCATTTCTGTATTTCGTCACTATCGCACCTCAGCGCTTCCTAGCGTACACGTATACGAGCGCTTCGATCGACAAGGAAAGTGTGGATATCGATCCAGCGCTTTGAGCGACTAGGAAAGTATATACTTATCGATCCAAGATCTAGAAGTCTGAGCGCACGCTAGCGTTTTCAGCGAATGCCCGCGAAAATTCAAAGCTACTCGCGAAAACGCTGTCGTACGCTTAAAACGCTGGATCGCTATGTATACATTTCCTGTCGTTCAAAACGCTGTCGTACGCTGGCATAAGCTCGAAACGCCAGAACGTTATCTAAAGTTCCTTATTCGCTCAGGACGCACAAGACGCTGCCGTATGCAGGTCAAAACGCTGACGCCGAGTATAAACGCACTCTAAATGGCCTACAGAGTTATAACATAGGACATAACGTACACTTCTTGTCTTCCTTAATTAGGGGATCGAAAGTTGTATACTGAAGTTTGTGTTTAGCCTCTTCGTTTTGCGGAGGACACTAAATGTGCTGTTAAGAACAAAATCTGTTTTCCATAACACAGGAACAAGCCAGATCTACCAAAATTTCGAAAATACTTACCATCATGTTCTCATCCTTGAAATAAGGAGGTAGATATTGGATTACCGGAACTTTGTTCCTCGCAAGATGATCTAATCCACGTTCATGATCCAACTTCTTTTCCAGCCACGCCTTCAAATAAACCACTTTAATTAACTGCACGAAGTATCGTGGAACAAGTTAGGACCCAAGCTCTATACCAACAAGCGTTCACCGAACAAAATATTGGATATTGATGGGATCAGCTATCACTCATTCCATATTGTAACGATATTCTGATTTAAAAGATTGGATAACCTGATCGTCATGAAAACAGACCTTTTTCTCAGCAAGTTGCTTTCGTTTCTTCGCAATTATTTCCAAGAGTTGATCGCAAAATTCCACTTGAGCATCAATAAGCCCGAGTACTTCAGCGTAAGGATTTGGAGCGTCTTCATCGAATTCCAATGGGTTGCCTAATGATGCCTGTAAAAAGCCGATTTCTATAACATAGCTTATAAGTTTCACGTTGAAAGGAGATAGATAATTGATTAGATTAACTTTTTTAGGGAAGTTTCTTAAGAGGTTAGAGATTGTCATCATTCACCAGCCGATGAATGCTGGGCTTGTTCTCACAGATATACTAAAGTGGAACCACTCTGACAGTCTAATTGATGTGTTCAAAATCAGTTCAAATAACTCGGAATTAAAGACACACTGAACGATTACCTGAAAGGTGGAGCTCTTTTATACACAACTTGGTCATGGACGTAGCAGTATAAGAGCACCAGTCTCAAAGTGCGCGGCACTGAAGCTAGATGTTCGTGGCAGATTGATTTTACTCGGCTCGGTCCGCCATTTGGTAGGCGGTACGAACCTAACTGCACATTACATGCTACACGGCCAATCACACGCCTACCCATGGTTACAGGCCCCTGACCAGAGCCAGGCCGAAAGGTGTGCGTATCGAATGGCTTCCGAAGGTGTCAAGATGTGTGTCAACCGCGGCTCTCTCTCGTCCGTCCTTCCTTCTCTCTTATCATTTTATTACTTTCAAATGTTCGGCCAAAAGATGCGACGAAAAAATACCTCTCCACCCTTGCAGCGAGAGAGCATCCTTCTGATAGAAGCTCCGTAACCCTGCCCATAATGCAGACACAGCAGATACACTTCTCAGGTAATCGTTCTCGTACTTTGAACTCGAGAACTACATCGACTTCACTATTTTTTCATTTGCGCTTTTAGAGTGCGCTATCTACTACTTTTACTCTATACTTTTACTTCAACTTTTAACCCCCTTCCCATGCCTAGCCAGGGAAAAATTCAGGAAAAAAACAGAACCATAATAAAGCTTAAGTGAGTTTGGTGGGTTAGTTCCCAGTAGGGGCATCGTAGTACGAGTTGACTTGGGAGATGAAAGTCGGACGCTTAGCGCATCTGAACATCACAGCAGCGCTGCGCGTCGACTGTACCTCCCAGATCGACTCGTACTGCGATGTCGCGACTGGGGAGAAAGGCAGCGTTCAGACTTGTCGCGCTTCATCGCGCGTTGATTGTCGCGCTTCAACGCGCGCTGCTGCTCTTGAACCCGCTACAATTCTGCCTTTTCTTTCATTACATAAAGGCGAAGCTGGCCGTCTGCGTACAGCTTTCAATTGTACCAGACCCCAGCTTCCCTTTATGTTCCTTCTTCCGGTATTCAACCCCTTTTTCACTGTTTCTCATTTCTACCTGACTCTTAGCTCCTCCTTTTCACTTTAACATTGAAACTTGTTTTATTTTGAATACATAATTTGAATATCTTGATTAAATTTTGATTATATCTTGAATAGCAACCCTGAGACTGCTATAATCAAAGTCGAAAACGGTATACAAAATCATTAGCCACAGCGTCTGCTGCAACCAAAAACTACACTAAAATTTAGAAAAGCATGCAGCCTCTATGAATTCAGGTAGAAATGAGAAACAGTGAAAAAGGGATCGAATAACCGGAAGAAAGAACATAAAGGGAAGCTGGGATCTGGTAGAGATGGAGTTTACTTGTAACGTGTTCAAAGGCAGCAGCGCGCGTTGAAGCTCGACAATCGACGCCCGTTGAAGCGCGACAATCGACGCGCGTTCAAGCGCGACAAGTGTGAACGCTGCCTAACGCTCCTCATCCAAGCTCAGGTCCACCCACCATTTCAGTATAGATCGCCAATGCTCCACCTTCGTCGAGGTCATCCTGATCACCATGAGATGTTGAAGGAACATCCATGGTGGTCCTAAAACCTAAATTTATCGAATATTCAAAACTTTTTTCATAGATTTCGCTCATGAAAAGGCCGACTCATAGGAAGTACCATGGCTGAGCAACACTTCACCACTTCGAAAATAGAAGGACAAATTGTTGTTCATGTTTATGTGCACTTTATATCATCGCATTCAACATCCGACCAAAGTCCGACAAACAGATTAAAAGCTAATCAATTCTACTTTAATTGTAACTCTATTAACATCATGTATTTCCTAGTTGATGACCTAACAATAACAACATCATCAGGGAGAAAACACAAGATGACCATCGGGTATGACAAGGTGAAAATACATGGCATTTAGCAATTACATTCCAAGTATAGCGAGAAGACGTCAGGAAGAAGCAGACTTTTTGCTTTTTCGTTCTTTGCTGTACCTCGGCATTGTCTCGTTTAGTCTCACCCTTTGAATCATCCGTATGGCCACCTAAAATTAAATCATAGACATCATAAAGAACTGTCGCACTTAACGTGCCAGTGCCATGCACACCTTATCACTTTCCGAATATCGTTTTCTTGAGCTTTCCTAAGAAACCTGTATCCCCATCAACAGATCCTGGAGCATCAGACTCACCCCTTGGTGATTCATGGTCCGCAGAGTTACTTGTTCCTGATTTCGAATCTTGCTGGTCTTTGGATTCGGTTGACGATTTCGCACCTACGGTACAATGATATAGTGCATTTTAAGCGCAGAGGCGCAAAAAGATCAATTCGCGTGGATTATACCTTCCAAAAATTATTAAGTAAGGCAAAAAGCAAAAATTTATGACTACACATGAATTATCCTACTTATATTTTTAATATTAACCAATGTCGCTGAGGCTGGCCAGTCTAAACCATATTATGTGCTGTGACATACAAAACTGAACTGCAGCCGGGGAATGGTGATTAGGTGGCGGGTCGCAAAGACAGGGCTTGAAACTTGCGTCGCTGACTGCAAATTCTCGCTGTTTATGGTCCTGTCGCGAAAGGACAGAGCGCAGAGAGATAAATGACACGGCCTATGATACTGTTACGTGACAACTAATACTTTTGGTGGAGATCCTCGCATGAAAGGTGAGACCACAGAGAAAGGGAAGACTGCGGCTACCATGTATCAGAAGGTGCAAAAAAAAAGCTGCCAGCCAGGACATGAGGTTTTTCAGAGGTATGGGACTCCAAGGTGGATAAGCCACTTATAATGCATAAAATTTGGAATGTCTGTGGCCTTATAGTCGTTATGCAATGTCATGCAGACGAGAGAACGACGTGAAAAACAGAAGGATGGTGCTCTTAAAGGGATAAAATTCGTGCTGTCCGTAGACCCTGTTACACAATTATCGTGAAACGTTGTGTAGAGAAGAGAGCGCAGACGAGAGAACGATCCCAATCCAGAAGGCCGGCGTCCAAGCAGCAAAACTGATCTGTTTATGGGAGCAGAAAACCGATCGGTTTGAAGGGCAAGTAGAAGGCCAGATGAGACCATAAAACAGATCGGTCGAAAGGCAGTATCTAAGCAGCAAGGCGGTAGTTCTGTGCAATCTGATCGCTATTATGGTTCTATGGAAGGTGACACGACGAGTCTTCTGAAGGAAATAACTCGTCCGGAGCAGTACACTACTGATTTTTGCGACAAACATACACACTAATGACACTAATTGCGTCGCTTCAGACGTTGGGTTTTCGTTGCCCGCGTCTTCACTAGGGTGGTCGTCAGGACGTGGAGCGCTTTGAAAACGGTTTTTTGCATGATGTGGGGTTACGTGCATGGAGTACCAAACTGGTGTTCATTTTTCCTGAACGCCTCTGGGAATGGCCAAACGATGACGTGCAAAAATGAGTCCATGCGACAGCCGACTGTTTCTGGCCTGAATGGGGCTCTAAATCACTCGCAACTTCGACCAGTTGCTGCCTATAGGGTCCTTATAAAGGTTGTACTGGTATCGATGAGAAAAGTAGTCGCCAATGGGGTCTTACTTGTGGCACGTAGTTTAAGTGAGTCGACGCGCTATTTGGCAATGGGCTCTTAAAATCGGAAGTGGTAGCGTACGGCATTGATCGATGGCCCTAGTGGGATAGCGTGGAGGATTCTCAAGCGGACAGTGGGGATGGGGATGATGGTTCGACTCCCCTCGGCTTGCACGTTTTTGCATTTTTTATTTTCCGTTGTTGTCGCTTCCATATACGTCTGTTAATGAATTTTACTCGGATATCTGCCATTTATAGGCACATCCTAAATAGTTATACCCCGTAGTCGGTGCTATTCAGCAATTTCGATTTCACATACCATTAAGCAAGAACTTGTCTGAAAGTTGAGCTTTATATGTTATTCGATGCCCTGATCACGACTATGGCATTTACTTTCAGCTCTAGTGCCATTTATCTCCAATTTGGAGCCAACGTCTTTCTCCCACTGGAGTCGCTATGTACATTCGTTTGAGGGACTTGCAGGGCCATTCTGACGCCAGATTGGGTTGACGTCAAGAATAAGTGTCAGAATCGTGATCAGGACCATCGATTACCCCTATAGGCACGCTTTCAGCCAAAAAATTTTTTTGACTTTCTTGAGTTTGTGATAGACCATTTGGTCGGCAATGATGACCGGAGTCTCACACCTTTGGAGCGGTGATGACGTAACGATGACGTTAGCGGGGCGCGGCAGCTACGCTATGCGCGGATTCGTGCTAGTCATAGGTCACAATCCGCTCCAAAAACTGCACCCAAAACTCAAAACCCTTGAATGGGCAGGGTAGCCGCAGAGCATGTGGAAAAAACCATCCGGACAATGTCGACCCGCTAGCGAACTGCTCTTGCCTCAACGAAGAGTGTCGTCCTTCTTTTCCAGTGAGACTCATTTTCGATTCCTTCACTTGGTCAAATGCCCCTGGAGGAATGATAACGCGTTCTTTTTTCCTTTCCTTTTTCCTGATGACGTTTATCGTTGCTTGGTTAGTTGTTATGTCTCCGCTACCAATGAATCGGTCGGCTCCCGGTAACCTGGCTGAAAGGTACGACTTCAACCGAGTGAGCAGTCACATTAACACCAATACACAACCTAAGAAAGTCAAAAAAATTTTTTTGGCTGAAAGCGTGCCTATAGGGGTAATCGATGGTCCTGATCACGATTCTGACACTTATTCTTGACGTCAACCCAATCTGGCGTCAGAATGGCCCTGCAAGTCCCTCAAACGAATGTACATAGCGACTCCAGTGGGAGAAAGACGTGGCTCCAAATTGGGGATAAATGGCACTAGAGCTGAAAGTAAATGCCATAGTCGTGATCAGGGCACCGAATAACATATAAAGCTCAACTTTCAGACAAGTTCTTGCTTAATGGTATGTGAAATCGAAATTGCTGAATAGCACAGCGGTGTATCCTTACGGGCTATAACTATTTAGGATGTGCCTATAAATGGCAGATATCCGAGTAAAATTCATTAACAGACGTATATGGAAGCGACAACAACGGAAAATAAAAAATGCAAAAACGTGCAAGCCGAGGGGAGTCGAACCATCATCCCCATCCCCGTGGGTCCACTTGAGCATACCTCCACGCACCACTAGTCACCGATCGTTGCGCAGCTCCACTTCGATTGTTTATAGAGCGTCCATTCCAACTATGCCGTTCGACTCTCTAACTAACCGTTGCCCATTCCAAGTAAAGATCCTCAGTTCGCCCGCTTGACTTCTTCTCATCGATATCCAGTAAACCTTATTAAGGGCCTATAGGCAGCATACTTGCGTCGCAAAGTTGCCGAATGATTTTATGAGCCATTCAGGCTCAGATAACAGTCGGTTTCCATGGACTTCTTTTCCACTCCACTTTTTTGGCATTCCAGATGGGCATCTCAGGAAAATGAACATCCTAGCGTTGGTACTCATGCACGTGACTCCCACATCATTGCAACAAACGTTCTCAAAATAGCGCTCCACGTCTCGATAACGCACCTCCTAGTTAGTCATGACTATCCAACCAAATAATGGCCTAGTCCATACTGAGTTTATCTGGCCCTGCAAGACGCTGACGAGTGTTAACATTGCACTAAGTTGATTCTCTATGTCTAGTCCCTTGATAGAAGGTCTCCCGCGGTCCATAAATACCTTGAAGAACCCTTTGGTCAGCATAGCTGAGCGCGGTAGATAAAAGGAACCATGTTAAGATGTTGACATTCCTCTGCAATTAGCTTGCCACCAGACTTTCGCGATGACGTGCGCCGACGCGCTACCATGGCAGTGGCCCTATAATGCTATAGGCACCAAACCTATCGGTAGACGGGTTTCGATCGGCGCCGGCCGCTTATGTTTCGACAATACAGAATAAGAGGAGGGTAGGCATCGCCTAATCGCACAGTCTGACCGCCCGCCTATCTCTACTCCTGCTCTCACAGATACCCATCGATGACTCCGTCCCACCTATAGCATTGGAAGACCAGTGCAGTGACAGCGCGTCATAGCGCGTCGACACGCGTCATCTCGAAGTCTAACACTGCCACAGGGCATTGATGAGCACAACTAGCCGCCCACAGCTCAAAAGCGAAAACCACAGCCAAGATGGGATGTAAATATTGAGGAGTGATAGACAGAACATTTTAGAGAGGATCTGAATCAAATAAAACGTCAAACTCTCGTTGAAAGCTATGACAGCTTGATTTTGGATGTATCGCACTGTTCTCCCTTATAATTTTTAAATAAGACATACTAAGTGTTGCAGTTAAACTAAGAAATAGTTTTTTAAGTTAAGACCATGAAAATGAGCGAATGGATCAAATACTCACTGTGTTCATCAAAACCTTTCACTGTACCACTTTTTGGCTTGTCAGTAGCTGCCCAAGCAAGCATTAGAGCCCGTTGATCAGCACTCAAGTAACTATAAAACAGTTGATAAACCACTGTCATCACTAAAAAGAACGGCAAAACCACAATAAAAATTGATACCTCGGTACAGCAACTTTAATGTGAATATATTGATCACCATAACCGGCAGAATGCAACCGTTTCACTCCTTTTCCAGATAATCTGAAAAGCCCCAGAGCAGCCTCTTGAACGCCGGCTCAAGTCATCTCAAAAGAACTATGGGAACTCACCTCATCTTCGTATGACTTGATGTTCCTGGTGGTACATGAACGTACGTATCTTCTATAATACCCGGAACCTTTACAGTACCACCAAGTACAGCTTGAGCAATAGAAATTTCTACATCGCAATGAATATCGTCCTTATCACGGCGGAATTTCAACGACGGTGCTACGTTAAACATCATATATATCTGGTTCTGAAATATATACTAGAAGTGTACACTGAAAGTCTCTGAGCGACAAAGTATACCAAGTAATTCGGCTCGAACTTCGACAGTCTCGAAGGAAAGTGAACGGCCTAGTTGGTTCATTAGTGAAAAAGAAAAAGCAGAGAAAACATGCCGGAATCGCCCTTCACAAATCCATACTGAACTGCGTTAAGGCGGAGAAACGGCATTGCTGGATGAGTTTTCACTTTTCGGTGTCACCTCTTCCTCCTTATCACCTTACTCTCAACATTCGAAATGGAGGGAGTTAGTAGAGCAAAAACCGCACAATCAGATAGCAATTAAAAATGAATTTGGGAGTTGCCGTGGCCAAACGGTTGAGACGTGGTCTCGCGGGTCGCGCCTTTCTCATCAATTTTTAGGCTGCGAAAGTAGTACAGCTTCAAATGAACGCGGATGTGTTTTTAAACGTAATTAGAGGAACCGCACTTACCCTTACTCTTGCGCATACCTAGGGACCTAACGGCCAACGCTGGCACCAGCTCCTGCATATATTTATCAAAAATACCGAGTGAATCGACAAACCTTTCCTACTTGGAACCGCACGCGGTCTTTGTCATTGGTGCCAGCCGGAACGGTGAACGAAACTTGCCTTCGTTGAACACTCTGTCCATGACCTTCACATTCTTGACAAGGATTCTAAATATCAACGAGAAATCAGCTTAGTACTGCAGTGCTAACGCTCATGGTCATCGAAATTCAACAGCAAAGTGAGACTGTAAGGTTCACTTTGAAAAGCCCAAAAAGGCTCAAAGGTTATTGAGCACTTTAAGCGATTCTGAAAAAAAAGTACTAGTCCCACTTCGCTGCTGAACGCTGAGTGTCAAATTGTTTACATGGAAAAATGGCACGATTTCTGTAAGACAAACCTTGTTATAATGACCAGAACCACCACAACGATTACAGGATGCTTGATAGAA